GATGCCCGTCCAAGAACCATTGCCGCCCTTTCGATGTGAAGATCGGATGCAACCCCGGCCCCCACCCTGGCAGGTGCCACTCCTTCGTATGGAAGTCCAACACAATCACTCTCGGTAAATGCAACAACTCTTCTTCGTCTTCATGATCGTCGCTGATGTGTTGCTGCCGAGCGAACTCTTTCTTGCACGCCGCACGCGTCAGCGGCCGCGTCAACCGCTTCGACTCATCGACGACCCCTTTCGCGGTTATGTCGCGCTTACTGCAGTCCCCGCACACCACTCTCGCTCCTTTCTTCGCCCTATGGTCCTCCACCTGGTTGCGATTCAAATGTCCCGTCTCCCAAAAACTCACCCCGCATCCTGGCGCGCAGCACGTCAGCGGCTTCGCCACCGCCCCTTCTTCACGCTTCCTATTATTCGACTCGCGCGTCGCCTCGTCACGTTCCCCTGCGCATTTTCTACACAATCTCACCCCCGCTGCATGGCGCTTCTTCTGTGCATCCGACATGTCCGCCTTCTCCTCGTGCAGCGACAGGCACTTCTCGTTTGAACATCGCACAGTGCCGACGCTGTCGCTCCACTTCGCGCTGCCGCTCCGCGCGTTCTTCATCACTTTGACATGACTGCACTTCGCGCAGTACATTGTTCGAATCCTTGTCGTCCCCCCGTCGCCGGCCGCTGCGTCCGCGCCCCGACCGCTACCGTGCCGCGCCGCATCTTCCCCCTCCGCTCTCGTTGCCCACCCTTCGCACGTTGCGCGCCATTTTTCGTCGGCGTTTTCCATATCTTCCGTGCATTTGTGTCAGAACTCTGGCATTTTCTCCCTCTGAAATTCGTACTTCGCGAACGCCTCTACAAGCAACCTCCGGCAGCAGCGCTCGCACTGGTCTCGTGGCATTAGTTCCGCTTCCCATTTTTCCCAATCCACGCTTTCCCCTCGTAGCACCTGCAATGTTTTTTTTTCGCGCCCGCCATATCACCTGCGTTGTGCGGCTTCCTATCAAAAGGCCTGAAGATGAGCAGGTTCTCTCGCCTGCGCACGCGCGTGATGGCAACGTAATTTGACATCAAACTCACGCCGCGCCCTCTTTCCAGGTCCGCTATCACTGCGCTGAGTGCGCCGTCGCTGCCAACGACGGGGTTGTCATAAACTGCGTTCGCTTGACACTCAATACTGGATGCTTCCGATACCCGTCCAAGAACCATTGCCGCCCTTTCGATGTGAAGATCGGATACAACCCCGGCTCCCACCTGGCAGGTGCCACTCCTTCGTATGGAAGTCCAACACAATCACTCTCGGTAGATGCAACAACTCTTCCTCGTCTTCATCTCCAACGACCTCGTCCTCGTGCAACACCCATCCAGGGATCGTCGCTGTGCGCCCCCGCAGAAACTGCTTCGTTGACCGATCCAAGTGATCTCCCAACGCCACGGGCATCCCCTTGGCCAGCGGCAGCCACCCGGGCAAGCTTGCGCACTCCTTCTCGTGGTACCCCAGCCCTCAGGAAACCCCCGAAAAGGCCCCAAAACTTGGCCCAAGATGCCTCGAGGCGGCCGGATATGGCCTGCAGACAAGCCAAGATGCCACCAAAAGGCCGCAAAAGAGCACCAACAAATACGATAACAGCAACGAAGCAACAGGAACGATGTCGAGCGCCGGGTCATGATTCGAACAAGCCTCGTGAAATGCACTCCTGGAGACGCGGTAAGTTATATAGGGGTCGGCGGATGTGGCGTAAACCCATAGAATTTTTCCAAATCTTGACTACCAACACGTGGACACCATCATCGCAATAGGCGTGACCAGCATCGATACCGCAGCGATGCGCCAGCCAGCGCCGAGCGGTCATCGCAATCGCCGCCGCATGGGATTTGCACCCGAAGTTGCGGGTGGGGGGGATGATTGCGCGAGCAGTGGTGTTGAACAATATCAATTCTGCACGGTGACTTGCACCACGTAGACTGCACCACATATATTGCGCAACGTGAGTTGCTAGAAATACACGGTTAGGGGGGCACGATGGCTAATACATGTGTATACACGGTGGGGTCTGGAAGTCCTGAATCAAAACATGTAAGTTCTTTGGGACGCATCCTGTACGTCAGCCGGCTTCCGCCGAGTTTCCGCCGGCTTCCGCTGGCGGAGGCGCCCTCGTCTTACTTCCGCCGCCTCCCGCCGAGGAAAAGGTGCCAGCTCCCTTTTTCCTGGGTAGCCCCCTATAGACAACCTTTGCCACGTTGCCGCCCGTGCCGCCTCGTGGGAGCATCGCGGGCGGGGGGGATGCCGAGGCTTTGCCACGTCGCCGACCCTGCCGCGTCGTGGGCGCCCCGTTGGGGGGTCGGTGCGCCGAGGCTTTCGCCACGTGGCCGCCCGCACCGTCGTGGGCGCCCCGTGCGCTCGGGCGGCACGCCGGCGTGTCGCCGCACTGCCCCCCCCCGTGCCGCCCCGTGGCGCGCGCCTCGTGCACCGGGCGGGTTCCCCGATGTCGCGCTGCGCTGCCGCCTGTGCCGCCCTGTGGGCGCCTCCTGGGCGCCCCCGTTCGTCCCCAGTTCGCACCGCCTCGCTTGCACGACATCGCCTGCACGCACACCGTAGCTTGCGCCGCGCAGGCTTCACCTCCATGGCTCGCACCACACAGCGCCGCATAGCCTACACCGCATGGCTACCACCTCGACCAACGCACTGTCTCGAGTCCGCGCCGGTTGATATGTGCACTAGAACCATCGCGCGCGCTTCGCGCGCGCTCGAGTTCTAGCTCAGGGCGGGGGTGCGCTGGAAGATCTTGGACACAGGCGCGTGACATAGTCGTGCCTTCGGAGGGCCTCTTGGGGACCTCTTGGGTCTTCGGGGGGGCATCTGAAGGGCTTCTGGGGGTGTCTCCGTGCTTCCTCAATTTGCTGTTGGAGGCACCTCTTGTGTGCTTCTTGGGGGGGCGTCTTGGGGCTTCTTGGGGTCCCTTGGGTGCATCATCGAAGTTTTCCGAGCAGTCCGAAAGTGATTTTCTGCAATCTGAAACCGTCATTGGCCGTCCTGGCTGCGTGGAAACCCGACTTGAGGGCGCCTGGGGCCACACTGAGGCAATCCGGAAGCCTCCCCGGAGCCTCCTGCAGGCAGTTTTGATGCATCGAAAGCACTGTTGGGCAATCTTGGGGCCCCTTGTGCGTCTCCTTGGGGCCTGTTGGGGCCAGTTGGGAGGGGGCCTCGCCGGACCACTTGGCGACTCTTGGGGCCTTCTCTGGGCCTCTTAGGGCGGAAGACTCTGCTGTTGGGTTCGCGTTCCCATTAGTGGGCATCTCGTGGGACCGTCTTGGGGCCCTCTCGGGCCGTCTTGGGCGCCTCAGGCACCGTCTTGGGTTCTCGTGGGCCGTCTTGGGGCCCTCTTGGAGGCCTCTTCGGCTATCGTGGAGCGATTTGGGGGGCCTCTTGGGCCGTCTTGGAGCACCGGGATGTTAAAAGGATGAAACGCTAAAATGTACCAATAACCTGTGGACAATCCATGATTTTGGCTCCTTGGGGCCCTTTTGGGAGTGCGATTCATCCAGAGGCCATCTTGGGCGTGTGAAAACGATCACTCCGCGATACTAGGCCTCCTGGAGGCCTCTCGCATAATTGGCCTCCTGGAGGCCTCTCGCGGCTCTTTTCATGTGTTGGGGCTGTCTTGGGCGGTCTGGAAGCGTCCGTGGCGCCCCGACACACCCATGGCGCGTCGGGGCGAGTATACGTATACATATGTCTATATATGTGTCTTCGGGGGCCTCTTAGTAAGAGTTTTGAAACCTTTTGGGTGCCGTCTTGGGGCCTCTTGGAGTTTCTTTTGGGTTTCTTGGGGGCCTCTTGGGGCCTCGTGGGGGCCTCTTGTGGCCTCTTGGGGGCTTCCTGGGGGCCTCTTGTGGCCTCTTGGAGGCATCTTGGGGCGGAGAGCTTGATTTTTCAGTTCGCGTTCCCTCTATTAGGTCCCTCTTGGGGCCTTCTTGGGACCCTATTGCGCAGTCTTGGGCGGCTCTGGGGCCGTCTCAGGGCTCTCTTGGGCCGTCTTGGGGCCCTCTTGGGGGCCTCTTGGGCCGTCTTGGAGCGGTTTTGGGGCGCATCTCGGGCGGTGCTTTGGCGCCGGAAACACGAAACAGCGATAATGCAAAAAACATGGGAACAAAAAAAAGGAAAATCAACGATGTTGCCCTCTCGGGGCGCTCACGGTCGGCATCTTAAAGGCCTCTTGGGGCGTCTTGGAGGCCTCCGGGGCAGTGTAAAAAACGCATCGTGCGTCGCTAAAGATCCCTGGACGGCGCCTTGGGGGTGTCCCGAGACCGTCAGGGGCCGCCAGGATTGCTGTCTGAGGGCTCCCCGGGGCGATTTTAGGCCTGAAGCGGCCCGGGCCCCGGTATTCACATTTGTGGTCGAGGTTCCGGCTCTCGGCCCTCGAGCCCAGTGCGCCGTTGTATGTATACATGCTGCTAGCTATGGTGATTCAAGCCATGCGGTGCAATCTGTGTGGCGCTCGCTACGTCGGCCACTAGATGTATGACACGGACGAGGAAAGCGACAGGAGGAGAGCGGCAGGACAGGGAGGACAAGGGGGACAGGGGAGGGCGACATGCAAGCGCGCCACTGGCTTCTCAGTCGCTGACCTCGTCCTCCTCATCCCATTCCGCCCACAGCATGCCCACGAGGCAACTCACGAGCTTGAACAGCTTCTTGTTCTCGTGGAGCATCATGTGTATGTCCACGCTTTTCGCCTCGCCCCTGAACTTCTGCATCCCTGTCGTGAACTCCATAATGTCAACGCACCCGTTTCCATCTTTGTCCAACATCTGGAAAAACACTTTCGCATCAGTGACATCAACGTCCAGCGCGGAAATGTAATCGCGGACCTGCTGCTGCTCCAAGCTCTCAATGAACTCGTCGAACGTGATGAGCTGATCCCCGTCCCTATCCATCAGCGTCAGCAGGTTAATGACATGGAGTTCCTTGCTCGCCTGCTCGTCCTTCTGTTTCTGCATCATCACCGAGCGGTCGCGCTTGGAAAGCTCGATGGCGCCATCGACAAACCCGCCACCGCGCTGCGCCGCGGGTTGGTGCGTGTCAGGCCCCACGCTCATCGAACAACGCCTGCGCAAAAGTGCGTGCTCCAACATCCATATCGATGTGGCCTTCCACACAATCTCATTTGTGGAGCGCTCCGTGGCCCTTCTTCCCCCCCTGCCCCCCAGCCCCTTTCCCCCCCCAACAGCGCTAGTGGCGGACACGCGTGAAAACGCATCAGTACACCCCATTTACGATGTTAGCCACCGCGAACACCATGAAAAACACAAAGCTAATGACAATGGCTTCGAGCAGCCATCCTGGGCCACGCATCGGCTGCGACGCCATCCCCCAGCTGATTCCCCCAGACATGCACATGAATAGAATGTACATCGTGTTGAACAACGACCCGTACAAGCTTTGCACATCCTTGAACTCGTCGGTGTCGGGAGAGACAGTGGCTTCTTTCAGGTAGTCGGTGGCTCCCTGCGTGAGAACTACCGAAACCATGTAGATAACTCCCGTCATGATGACCAGGACCCAGAAAAGCGAAAGCATCGAACTGATGATCATGTGCAGCATCACACGAAGCTGGGCCAGCTTCCGCACCACACGAACGATGCGCACGATACGAAGTAGGCGCATTACCCTCGCGAGCTTGCCCATGAACGCCCCAGGCAATTCCCGCCCGTACAGGCTGAGGGCGCCGTCGACCAGAGAGAGGCACACCAAAAAGAAATCAAACATGTTCCACAAACGCTCCTGCGGGTTGGTGAAGAATTTGGAACGGTGCACCGACAATCGCGCGCAAAGCTCCGCAAGGAAAATAACCGTGAAAGAATACTCCGCCAACTCGAACTCTGGCGCGTGCCTGCTGGACACCGCGTCGTGCTGTACTTGGGCGCCTATGATCAGTGCGTTCAGGATCACGAGGACCGTGATGGACAAGTCGAACTGGGTGGACACAACCAATCTGCCCACGATCCCAAACTCTTGACGCTTGAGCCTGATGGTGTTCGCATGCTTTATGAGCCTGACCCTCTTCTTGCTCTCGTGGTTGTAGCGCGACGGGGCGATGACATTTTGGCTCCTCTCGCTGGCCTCGGCCTTCTCCACCTCGCTCAGGATCTCCTTGATTAGCAATAAAAGAACCCCCAATGGGAGGGGTCCAAAGTTAGGGGGACCAAACACATTACGGATAGGGTTCTTTTTGTCTGCAGGTGTATCAGACCAAACCGCCCAGATCTGTCATCCCTGATGCAGCGACCAGGTGAGGCCACGCCTTCGCTGTGCTCTTCGGGTGAAAAGGGGCCCTCTTGCCCTCGATGTGGCGTCCTGGGCCCTGGTCAGCTTGGAGGTCAGCATGGAGGACCGTATCCTCTTCGGGGAGCTGCTGGCCGCCGTGCTCGTCGACATGCGGCTGCGCGTCACCTCGGGAGCGGCCAAGAGGGGGTTGTCCAAGAGGGGGGGGTGCAAACATGACCGGCCGCATGTGCGCGGCCCTGCGGGGGGGCCAGGGAGGTCAGAAAACAAGAAGAGGCGCCATGAGCTCTGGGGAAAAATCATGGCCCCCGCCATGATATTACCCCCCCCTAGTCATCACCCCCCTCTTTTCAGGCCCCCGATCTTCGGTCCGCCTGGGGCAAGCAAGGCCCTGGGTGGGTGCCGGGCCCTCGTTTCTCGCCTGTTGGACGGGGACGTCGGCGCCCCTGGCGACTTGGAGGTCGCGCGGCACGACATGCTTAGGAGGAGGAGGAGGAGGCGGACCGAGGAGGAAGAAGAGGAGGATCGATGAGGAAGAGGAGGAGGAAGAAGAGGAGGATCGATGAGGAGGAGGAGGAGGAGGAGGAGGAGGATCGACGAGGAGGAGGATCGATGAGGAGTCATCGATCCCCCTCTTTGCCGCCCCCGATCACCCGCGGGAGCCTCCAGATCGACGACCGGGCGCTGCGCGCGCGGGGCGGCACGGGCGGCACGTCGCCCGGCAGCCTGCGCTCCGCCGGCCCTCGGGCCGCGGCGCGAAGCTCCAGCGCCTGGCGGCTTCTCTTCGGGCCCTCGCTGCGGGCCGTCCGGCGGCCGCTGTGGGGGAGGAGTGGGGCAGCCCCCGGGGGGGTCGCCCTCGGCGAGGCACAGCCGCCGAAGGGCACCCCGAGGCGGGAGGACCGCCGGGGTCGCCCTGAGACCTCCGAATGGGGCCTCGAGCCTAGAAGCCCGCTGGGGAACGGAGGCAGGATCGGGACAGAAGCAGGCTCGAGTGAACTGGGCATCTCTGAGACCCAGTGGTTCTGAAGTCGCTGCGCCTTCTCAGAGCGCTCTGGGGCGATTTCTCCCGATCCCAGGCTCGCCTGACACCCGGCGTCATGTTTTTTCTTTCAACGTGGGCCACCAGATGATGATGATTATGATGATTATGATGATGATGATGATGATGATGATGATGATGATGATGATGATGATGATGATGATGACGACATCATCATCTTCATCGTCATCGTCGTCGATCCCTGCAAAGAGACCGGCTTTTCGTCCTCAGCCGCTCATCGAGACGTCCTCGGGGCCCGGCGAGAGTCCCCAGTGGCCGAGAGCTACGAGACCCTGCCGCCGTGATGCTGCCCATGACCCGAGAAAGTCTGGGCACCTTGAACCCCACTGATTCTTGGCGGCGCGCACAAAGGCGTGGAGGGAGAGGGGTGGGCTTCTTAGAAGGAGGCTGCTTCTTAGAAGGCGCCGGCCTTACATCTATAGATAAGGCTCGCGCCTTCTAAGAACCAGGGGTGCTTCTAAGAAACCCTCCCCCCTCCCCCCCCCGTCTGCGCGTGGCTGAGATCCGGAGATCAACCAAATCATCCTGAACGACTTCTTCCAGAGCGTTCTGCCGGACGAACTCGTCCGGTTGAGATTGCGGAGAAACTTGTCGGGACATTCAATTGTCCGTAGACGATCCCGTCTTCGGATGAGCTCGTCTTCGGATGATATCGTCCTCGGAGGAGCTCGCCCGGAGGACGCTGTCCGGACGAGCTCGTCCGGAAGAACTCGTCATGGATGACCTCGTCCGAATGAAACGGCATCGGATGAAACGGTTGGCTTTCAATCCTCCCCCCCTCCCCCCCCCCCTCCATCGGGGACGCACTGACCCGGGTCAATACACACCCGGGTCAGTCAGGCTTTGCAAGATCCAACAAGAACCTGCACGATCCTGCACGGGGGTCAACGCACCCTTGGCTCTGCAAGATCCTGCAAGGTCCGGTGCTCTGGCTGACCCCAGTTTGCATTGACTCCCGTCTCAAGGCTCTGGACTACATTGGCGGCGCGCACAAAGGGGTAGGGGAAGCACAAGGCTCGCGCCTTCTAAGAAGCAGGGGTGCTTCTAGGATGCCTTCCCCCCTCCCTGTATTCTCCTCTGCGCGTGGCCGACTCTACGCGGCCACGAGGAGGAGGCGGAGGAGGAGGAGGAGGAGCAGGACGTATCTGGGAGGAGAAGGAGGAGGAGGAGGAGAAGGAGGAGGAGGAGGAGGAGAAGAATAATGAGGAGGAGGATGAGGTATCTGGGGGAGGAGGAGGAGGAGGAGGAGGAGGAGGAGGAGGAGGAGGAGGAGGAGGGAGGAGGGAGGAGGAGGAGGAGGAGGAGGGAGGAGGAGGAGGATAATGTATTTGGGAGGAGGAGGTATCTGGAAGGAGGGGGTATCTGGGAGGAGGAGGAGGCGGAGGAGGAGCAGGAGCAGGAGCAGGAGAAGGAGCAGGAGCAGGAGCAGGACGCTCTCCTGCGACTGGGTCGGCGATTGCGGCGACGAGCCCGCCCCGTCCGCGTCGGCGAGCAGCTCAGCGACGCGTCCCGCCGGCAAGCTCTGCTGCCGGGCCAGTTTCCGCCTCGGCGGCAGCGCCGACTGCCGGGCGGCGGGCAGCACCTCTCGGGCATCTCGCAAGAGAGGGGGCTCCACAGAGATCTCTAGAGTTAGACAGCCCAGGGCTCGCCAGGGCCCATTCCGCCCCCCCAAAACGACCCAAACCCTTCCCAACCCCTCCAGAAACCTTCTGAAAAGCCTCTTGGAACCCTTCCAGGAGGGTTCACGCAAGTCCTCGGCTGTTTTGACGGGAAACCAGACCCTAGCGAACCCTGGACTTTCTAACTCTAGAGGCTTCCTATGATGGGGTCGAGAGATCGCGCCGCATCGCCGATACATCGGCGAGGCATCGGCAGTGTATCGGCGATGCACCGGCGATGCATCGTCGACATCGGCGATGCATCGGCCGCCGTGAAGCAATTCGGGCTCCACTGAGATCTCGGGGGGGGGGCGAAAAAGTAAGACAGCAAAGGGCAGTGAGAGAATCGCAGCTCACGTACCCAGGCCCCCTCGCGCGGTGAAAAGATTACGACGGGAGGTTTCTCGCCATTTTCGGCATCTGGGGGCCTTACCGGCCTCGGGACTGCCAGAAAACGACTCAGTACGAAAAACCGGTCCAGGGAAAGTGGTCGAGAGGTCGGGGGCACCAAGATCTCGGGGGGGACGAAGGAGATACTCCAAATTTCGTGATGTCAATAAATTGGGTCACAACTAAAGTTCACAACCCTCCCAGACGAAGGATGATAGACCCCCCCAGACCAGCCATGAAAGGGCGGCCTTTTCGCCCAGACCCCCCCGAACCCTCCAAGACAGCTCAAATCAGACCCCCCGAAATGTGACCCCCCCTCTTTGTAACGGAATCCAGCGTCGAGAATCAGCTCACGTAGCTTGTTTCTTGCGTCCTCCTGGCGTCGGGATGCGCCCATGTATCGAGGAATGGGCCCAGTGGCGGGGAGGAAACCAGCTGCATGCAACGGATTCCGTAACCCCCCCTTTTCCAATCCCCCCATTTCGTCCGGCCCGAGGATCGCCACCCCGCTTGCTGAGCAGTGCTTGGCGAGCGTAGCGAGCGAGGTTGGCTCGAGGCTCGCTACGCTAAATTCAATCAGGAGGGTGCTAAACTACTTGACTATCTAGGCTAAGCTCACGGCAACGTCGGCGATGCATCGGCGATGCGCCGGCGACGTCGGCGGTGCTTCGATGCCGTCAGCGTGGAGAATATCGGGCTCCACATCGCGCCGCATCGCCGATGCATCGGCGATGCGGCGCGACTCTCCGACCCATCTGCTCGGATCCGGTCTGGGAGGCGCAGGCCCACCAGCCGTGGGTTGGGAAACATTCCACGAGGACGGACAGGAAGCGCCTGCATTCCGAGACCCCCCTCGCCATTTCAGAAGGCCGCCCCCCTCGCGCCCCCCCCCCTGGCGCGCGCGTCCAACTCTCGGAGGAGCGCTAAGCCGGGGAGGGTCGAGGATCGAGTGCCTCGAGGGGGTCGAGGATCAGGACACACAACTCCGCTCGTCGCGCACAGAACACGACGGACGGTTTTCTACAGTGTTCGGCCCCTCGGGGCCCTCACCGCGTCTCGGGGCCGTCAAAAAACGACTCGGGATGAAAAGCCAGTTCCAGGGACGGGGTCCCGACGTCTGGGGGTCCACCTTAAAAAAACACGATCTGGGATGGGGGAAGGTTGCTGCAGGAAAGGGGCGGGGCCCTGAAAAGGCCCCAGAGGGGCCCCCTGGTGAGTTGCGCGAGCGGCGCACCTCACGGGATGTCAGCTATTGGCTTGGGAGGGCAATTTATTTTGGCCAGCAGAGCGCAGTGCAGCCCTCCCCAGGCCAACAACAAATGCCTGTAGTGAGCTCATTGCACAGGCACCGTTTTTGCCTTCAGCGAGCTCATTGCCGCCGTCCCATTGCAAGGATGCCGTCGCAGACATTTGGCTGAGGAGCGCTCTGGCGGAAGCACGAACAATCACTGACGCAAGTCTCCCTCCAATCATCCAGAGCCTCGTTAGAGCAACGCGAGTTGAGACAACGCCACTTCAAAATCGCGCACACTCTTGGGGTCCAAACGCACAAATTTTGGGGTCCCCCCCTGAAAACCAATTACTGGTGTCTCAACTCGCCCTCCTCTGAGGTGGTCACTGTGCCGATTGGGGCCCCCCGGAGCTCCATGGACTCCACGCCCGCGGTCGACGGGTCGGCTGGCGGGCCGTCGACCAGCCTGCGCTCCGCGCCTGCTTCGCGCCGCCCCGCGAGGCTTTGGCAGTCGCCGGCACCGGCCCCGAACACCTTCCGGCCAGCGCCCTCTCCATCCGGGGAGGTCTGGCGGCTCAGGGCCGCCCGGCTGATGCGGCTGGTGGGGCTCCCCTCGGCCGCCGCCTCCCACGCCTCCAAGGTGGCGGCGCGCAGGAAGGAGGCTACACAAGGCGAGGATCCCCCCCTCCTCTCCCTTCCGCCGCCTTTTCAAGCAGTGCTGGGCCGGAAAGGCGTGCAATCGAGTCAGGACTTGCGTGATCCAGGTTTCCTTTCGGGCCTCGCCAGGCCCCCCCCCCCATCATGCTCCCATGCAACATCAACTTGCGCGCATCTACAGAGATACTGCCTCCAGCCTTCTGAGGAAGCAGCACAGACATGCTCGCGTGGAATATTTCCTGCAGAAAGCCATCGATAGCCATATGCATTTGCGAGCACCGAACTGCTGGATATCGCCTTCGGTGGAGCTCCCTGTGAAGCTACGAAACGTGTGAGGTGTGCCGAAATGGGCCCGGGGGCGCATGCGAGCTGCTCCACTGGGGCCCTCGGTGGAGCACCATGATGGGGCCACGAAACGCGTGAGGGGTGTGCTCAATGGAACCGCATGCGAACCCTGCCACTGGGGCCTTCGGCTGATCTCCCCATTGGGCACGAAACGTGTGATGGGGTGTGCCGAATGGGGCGGGGGGCCACATGCGAACCCTACCACTCGGGCCTTCAGTAGGGCTCCTGTGTGGCCACGAAGCGTGTAGGGGGTGCCGAAGAGGGCAGGGAGCCGCTTGCGAACCCTGCCACTGGAGCCTTCGGTGTGGCTACCTATGAGGCCACGAAGCGTGTTGGGGGTGTTCCGAAATTCGCGGGGAGCCGCACGCGAACCCTGCCGCTGGGGTCTTCGGTGGAACTCCCTGTGGGGGAGGGGCGCGAAGCGTGTGAGGGGTGTGCCGAAGTGGGCGGGGAGCCGCATGCGAGCGCAGCCGCTGGGGTCTTCGGTGGATCTCCCTTTGGGGCCACGGGGCGTGCGGAGGGTGTGCGGGAGTGGCCGGGGAGATCCGAAATCAGCCGCTGGGGTCTTCGGTGGATCTCCCTGCGGGGCCACGAAACGTGTGAGGGGAGTGCGGAACTTGGTGGAGAGCCGCACGCGAAACCTCACTTGGGCCTTCGGTGGAGCTCCCTGTGGGTGTGAGGGGTGTGCCGAAGTGGGCGGGGAGCCGCATGCGAACGCAGCCGCTGGGGCCTTCGGTGGAGCTCCCTTTGGGGCCACGAAGCGTGTGAGGGGTTGGCGGAAGTGGCCAGGAAGTCAGATGCGAACGCAGCCGCTGGGGTCTTCGGTGGATCTCCCTGTGGGGCCACGACACCTGTGAGGGGTGTGCCGACATCGGCATGCGGTGGGCGGGGAGCCGCATGCGAACCTTGCCGCTGGGGCCTTCAGTGACGCCTCCAGTTTGTTAAGGGGGCGACACGTGTGAGAGGGTGTGCAGAAATTGGCACGCGGAGATCAGAGGCAAGGAGGGAGGGGCAGAGGCAAGAGGGGAGGAAGGAGGGGAACAAGAGAGGATGGGGCAGCGGAAGGAGAGAACGACGCGGGGCGCTGTCTCTCCACTACGGCACGCACGATTTTGGCCGTTGGCTGCCTCGGGGGGGGGGGGGGGGCGTCGCCGGGCCCCGGGACCATCAGAAAACCGACGGACGAGAAATCCACCCTGGAGAACGAACGAGTCGGGACCCCCAGGGACCCAGATTACGTCGGGTGCATGGGTAGCCGTCTGCAGAGGGCGGGGACTTTTTTTAAAGACGCCCGTTCCAGGACGCCTTCCTGGAAGCTCCCGGCCCCTGCTGAGAGGAACGCCCCGCCCCCTGAGAAGCGCCACCCGACTCGCCCCAGCGTCGCTCGGACGAAGGCGAGTGGAGGCAGCGGCGGCTGAAAATCCATCCCCGGACCCCCCACGGGGTCCGGTGGCACCAGTCCCCCGATGCTGTCTCCGGCCGCGGCGACGAGGAGGGCCTTCGAAGGCCAACCACCACCGTGGTGTCGGCTCGCCCTCCTCCGACGCCCCCCGCGCGTGCGCCGAGGCCTTGGTGAGGCTGTCGCCGACCTGGCTGTTGCGGAGGGCCCGCCGCACGCTGGCCCTCCTCTGGTGGCCGCCGACGAGCAAGTCGACCTCTCGGCGCGGATCAAGCGGATCATGAGGGAAACGGGTCCTGGACCCTCCCCCCCGTCCTCTCGCTGCGAAGAAGTCGCGACGGACAATCTTTGGCCATTGTCGGCCTTGGGGGGCCCCCACTGGACCCCCTGAACCGTCAACAAAAACCACGCGGGATGTAAAACCGGTCCTGGGCAAGGGGGGTCCCCGTTGCGAAGATTATCCTGGCGAAGGACCCGCCCATATGCAATTGTGAATGTCGTCCTCGGTGGAGCTCCCAAAGGGGCCCCGAAACGTGAGGGGTGTGACGGAATGGACATGCGGTGGGCGGGAAGGCGCATGTGAACTGTGCCACTGGGGCCTGTGGTGGAGCTCCGCACGTGAGCCCTGCCGCTGGAGCCTTCGGTGGAGCTCCCCTGTGGGGCCAGGGGCGGCCAGGGTGCGCGTGAGGGGCGTGCCGTGAGGGGCACGCGCAGGCAGAAGCAGGGACGGCGGGAGGGAGCAGGGCAGCGGGCCGGAAGGGCGAGAGGTGAGGAGCGCAGGGCGCTGTCTCCTCACACCGAGGACCCAACACCGCATGATGCATGAGAAAAATCACGGCGTCGGAAATCCGCCGACCTTCTCGGCGGTGACAGGGGCTGTTCAGTCGCCATCGCCGTCGCTGCCGCCGGCGCGTCGCTGCCGCCATCGCGTCCCCTCCTTCCCTTGAGTCCGTCTCCGCTCCCCCACTTTCCTTGGGCCCTCGTCTTCACGCGCGCCAGCCAAAGCAAACTACACCAGTCCATCCACAGCGAAATCAAGCACCGTTGTCATTGAGTCGAAAGGGGAGCCCCTTCCCTTTGATCCCTTCCCCGCGGAGGGGGGGGTCCCGGGGGGGGGTCCCGGGTCAGAATGCCACCCTCCCGGGGCGTGCCCGGCCTGCCGAGGGCCGAGGCCTCCAGGGTCGGCGGCACCAGCCGTAAGGCCTTAGCAATCGGTTGGGGCCGTCTCCTGGGGCCAGCTCTTCGTGCCGACCCGTTCCCTGGCAATCCTGGTTCCCTGGGAGGGCCCCAGTGGGCCAGATACGCGCAAGAAAGCACAAGGCCCGTATCCTTTGAGGCCCGCCTGCTTTATGGATCATATGATTTTCGGTTGCGACGACTTGCGCCAGGCTCCAAATATTGAGGAACCAACCTTGGAGTTGAAAAGGTCAATCCGATTGAAGCACCGGGGGCGCAATCTTGAAGTTTGCATTGGATGCTTTGCCCGTTTGCATTTGGTGTCCCGCCCTCTTTCATTCAATGTCACGCCCACTTGCACTCAATGTCCCGCTCGCCCGACTGCATGTGGTGTCTCGCCCGCTTTCCTACATTGAATGGCCCTGCTTACATTCAATGTCCAACCCGTTTGCATTTGATGTCCCGCCCGCTTGCGATTAATGCAACGCCCGCTTACGTTTAATGTCCCGCCCGCTTGCTTTAAAACTATCGCCTGTGCAGTCCTGAAACTGGCGCGAGACTCTTTTTAAAACTTTTCAGTTTGCCCCCGTTTTTGTCATTGTCGTCGCAATCATCCCCAATCCCCTGCTCCACCTCCGGCTACTTCTCATACTTATCCCCTGGTTCGCTTCCCTCTTCCTGTGACTGGTCCCCGTCTTCTTCCCGCTGCTGCTGCTGCTGCTGGTCTCCACATCCCTTATCTCTTTCGACTCCGATTTCTCCTGCCCGCCCTGCGATATTTGGAAACTCAAGATGGGAATTGAAACGCCCAAGTCGGTTTGAAACGCAGTGTTGACTTGGAATATGTATTTCCACTTCGAAACGGACTAGTTCAATGCTAGCCAGCGTGGGCCTCAACTGGCAATGTATGTCGTACCATGTATATATATATATGTTTATACATATATATGTACAGATACATAGATTGTGCAAGCTAAGTGGTGCAATTGATACTAACGAACGATTTGACACGTCCCACGCACTTGAAAACATCCCATCCACCCACCCGCAACTTGGTTTGCAAAACCCATGCGGTGGCAATTGCGATGCATGCTTGGGCTTGGCTGGTGCATCTCTGCGGCCACGCGCGCAGCGGCCAGCTAATTTGGCGCGGCCGATGCGGCCGCGGCGGCGCTGACCGCTGGGCACATCCCAACGGACATTTCAGTGCGAGTCGGCGACTTGGGCGGGCGCGGTATCACGGCAACGTCGAAAACGGTAGACACGATGATGATGCCAAAAATGCTGGTGACGATGTTGACAAGTTCGACGGCGCGGCCAGTGCGGGGGCCGATGCTGACCACGCCGACGACGATGATGGCGACTTCGCGTCGGTGATGAATAGTTTGTAAAAAGAGTTCGACATGCGCGCGTGGCCGGCGCGTGATAGTGGCCTGCATGGGGTTATTTGACACGGATCGTGCCCCCCCCCCAGCACGCCCGCAAAGGCGTGCGAACGACTTTGGCGTGCAACGCCAGGGGCCCGCTTGGCAGAATTCCATGAACATGTTGAGAAACCATGGGCTCTTAAGCATTCGCAACAGCGCGAACGAAAAATAAGCAACACACGCGTTGCGACACCGAATGTTGTTATATGGTTTGTTGGACAGTTGGTTTTGAACATCGCTACGAACAAGAAGTATTTTGTTCGTTTCAAAATTGACAAACATGTATCACAATCGTGTTTTCAACGGATGTCGGCATGCGCGCGCGACGACGCGCGCACGTGCATGTCGTTTTTTTGTTGCAAACGATTCTCGCGACGGCGCGCGCGCGCAAGGAAAGGGCGTTCGAACGATTTCGGCAGGCGCGCGCGCGAAGCCCGTTTGGTAGCATTTCCTGAACATGTCGAAAACCTATTGGTTTTGTCTGGTAAATTCGCAAGAACGCGCGCATTTTGTTTGAACGTCCGTCTTGCGAAACCCTGCTAGGCGATGTTTGTTTAAACTATTTTGCTCTTGTTTTTTGTTGATGCTCGATTTCAAATAAAATCCGTACTACACCAGCGGTGTTTGAAGAATTCCGATATGCGCGCGCGACGGCGCGCGCGTGTGCATGTCGGGCCATTTGTTGCCAAGGGATTCTTCTTGAAAGCCGATAATTTTGTTACACGAATGTGCGCGCATAGAAGTGTTTGCAGAGGATGACGGGGGGGCGGTAGCGCCCCCCCCCCCCCTTCCGAGCGGTGTGAATTCACATTTCGGATGGACGATGGGGTAGGATAGTATGCAATTTCCACATCCCCAAATGGTACGGATAAGTTCGGCCTCGGGAGGGTAGCAGAGTCGATTCTCTTGTTTAGAAAGGAGAACCTATTTGGTGTCATCTACGTGGTACAATATACGTCTTACAAAATATGTTGCGCAACTTGCGTTGTGCAATCAAGGTGGTGCCGTGTAGGTGCAATCTGCGAGGTGGAAAAAATGTGGTGCGCGTAATTCTGGAAAGCTCGAATGAGTCAACTCCAGTGCTCGCGCAATCACCCCGCCCGCCCACCCGCAGCTTGGTTTGCAAAACCTACGCGGCGGCTTGCTTAGCGTTGCCTGGTGCACTCTGCGGCCGCGGTTGTGCTGACCGCTGGGCAGTTTCCACCGGGCACTTCAGCGCGACTCGGTGACGTGGGCAGTCGCGATATCATGGCGACGACGACAACGGCAGACGCGATGGTGATAGAAGCGGTGACGATGACGATGATGACGATGACGGCGGCAGAACCGATGACGGCGTTGGTGCTGATCACGCCGATCACGGTGACGGTGTCCCTGCGTCGGTGATGAAAACGTTGGGATGACTTCGACGCGCGCGCGCGGCCGACGCGCGCGAGTGGCCCTCCTGACATTATTTGACATGGATCGTGCCCTCCCAGCACCCGCGCAAGGGCGTTCGAATTATTTCGAAGTGCGGTGCGAAAAGCCCGATTGGTCGAATCGGATGATACTGGTGAAGAGCTGGCGTTTTATTCTCAAGGGTTCGCAACCGCGCGCAAAGTGCTTTTGAACAAACTGATGCTGCACACCGCGTTTCAAATGTTTTCGGGACATTCGGTTTTGAATTTCTTACATCACCTAATTGTTGGGGGATTTCGGCACGCGCGCGCGACGATGCGCGCGCGTGCGCTTCATCCAACTTTGTTGCGGTATATTCTCGCGACAGCGCGCGCGCAGGGGCGTGCGAATGACTTCGACGCGCGCGCGCGAGAGAGACGCATCTGGTAGCATGTGATGGAAGTTGTAAGAAACGAACGGCTACCCCAAGAACTCGTCAAAGCACGAGCGCAGACTTGTCTTGAATCTCCCTGTTGCGATGCCCGTGAAATTCTATATGTCTTCGGGGCGCTCGATTTTGAAATCCTTATGAGACCTGAGGTTGTTGAAAGATTTCGGCGTGCGCGCGCGTGACGAGGCGCGCGCGTGCACTCCGTCTCACGTTTCGCGCAATATTCTGGCAACTGGTGATTTGGGGTAAACGAGTGCGCGCGCAACATGCAATGGAAGAGGGGGGGCGATGCATGACTGCGTGGGATGGCACGGGGTCAAGTTTAGGATGGACGATGGAACCGCTTAATATGTAAAGTGCACAGCGAATGGGGAACGCCGCGACGTCCGGGGTGGGTGGGGGGGGGGGGGGGGGGGGGGGGCGGGGGGGGGGGGGTGTAGATCCAATCCTTTTTAACAAAGAAATCTCAGCTGTGCAACCAGCGTGGTGCAATCTTTGCAATGCCATTAAATTTCCAAAACTGGGAGTTATGAACTCGACTGTTCGCGCAATCTTCTCGCCCGCCCGCCGGGAACTTGGTTTGCAAAACCCATGCGGCGACGACTGCGATGAAGAATTGGTGTTGGCTGGTGCATCTCTGTGATCGCGCAGTCCCGCGCATGCTCGCGCGCGCAACGGCCGTCTACTTCGGCGCGGCAGACGCGGCCGCGGTGGCGTTGACCGCAGGGCACTTCCAACCGGGTACTTCAATGCGAACTTGGGCGGGCGCGGTATCAAGGTGACGTCGACAACGGTAGACGCGATGATGATGATAGCGAGGGTGTT